TTTTCTTTCTTTGTTGTGTCTTTATCTTGTTTTGGGATTAGGATGATGCTGGCTTCATAAAAAGAGTTTGGGAGTCTTCTGTCTTCTCGGATTTTTAAAAATAGTCTGCAAAGGATAGGGGTTAGCTCTTCCTTAAATGCTCTGTAGAATTCTCCTGTGAAACCATCAAGTCCAGGGCTTTTGTGTGTTGGGAGTTTTTTGATTACTGCTTCAATTTTGTCAGCTGTTATTGGTCTGTTCAGGCTTTCTGCTTCTTCATTCAGGTTTAGAAGATTATATTTTTCTAGATATTTATCCATACCACCCAGGTTTTCAAATTCCTTGGCATATAGTTGTTCGAAGTACTTTCTTACAATCCTTTGTACTTCTGTGGTATCGGTTGTAATCTCTCCTCTTTCATTTCTAATTGTGTTTATTTGGGTCCTCTCTCTCTTTTTCTAGATGAGTCTGCGTAAAGAGTTGTCAATTTTGTTTATCTTTCAAAGAACCAGCTCCTGAATTTATGCAATTAAATTCTTAAAAATATATATTTAAAACACTAATGATTTTATTATTTTTGTTAAAATGATACCCATTCATTACAAACAAAGGAAAAAAGATTTTATTTATTTATTTTTAGAGACAAGGGAAGGGAGGGAGAAAGAGAGGGAGAGAAACATCAATGTGTGGTTGCCTCTCAGGTGCCCCCAACTGGAGACCTGGCCCACAACCCAGGCGTGTGCCCTGACTGGGAATCAAACCAGCAACTCTTTGGTTCACAGTCCAGTGTTAAATCCACTGAGCCACACCAGCCAGGCCAGAATATTATTGACTATATTCCCTATGCTGTACTTTACCACCACATAAATAACAACCAATTTGTACTTTAAAACATTTTTAAAATTTATTTTAGAGAAAAAGGAGAGAAATATCAATTTGTTGTTCCACTTATTTATGCATTCATTGGTTGATTCTTGTATGTGCCCTAACTGGAGCTCAAATCTGCAACCTTGACATATCCAGATGATGCTCTGACCAACTGGCCTACCCTGCCAGGGCCCAATTTGTACTTCTTAGTTCCTTCACTTTTTCATTCACCTCCTCAAACCCCCTGACTACTGTCTTTATATTTTAATGTCAATATGGATGGATTATAGTATTTTCAATTCATTTTTCCAGTATGTAGTTAATATCGGCTTATGGCAAAAAAATCTCAAACTATAGAGTAGGTTATAAAGTGAAAAGCAAAAGTTTCCTATGTCTTCATATGCAGTCTCACTCTGTCATTCCCCCTCTGCACCCAGCTGTGGACCCAGGCACAGCGCCTGGCACTGTGGTGCTCAATACACAGTGTAAGAAATGGTCTGGTCCTGGCTGGTGTAGCTCAGTGGATTGAGTGTGGGCCTGCAAACCAGAGGATCGCGGTTCGATTTCCAGTCAGGGCACATGCCTGGGTTGCAGGCCAGTTCCCTGCAGGGGACGCACGAGAGGCAACCGTACATTGATATTTCTCTCCCTCTCTCTTTCCCTTCCCCTCTAAATATAAATAAGTAAAAAATCTTCAAGAAAGAAAAAGAAATAGTCTGGCTTATTCTGGTTGTCTCAGGCAATGCAACGAAGTCAATAATGCTTACATTAGAACTGAAACAAGCTAGGTGGAGACTGTGTTGAGCTGGTGAGTACATCCTATCCAAAAGGGGCAGCCACTGCTCAGCTCCAGCTGTTTCTCGTTCAGAGAATACAGACTTGGTGTTGCTAGATTACAGGATTTCAAATGAAAGTGAAAATTTACTTTTGCATGAGAAATTTGCTGCTGCTGTGTCAAATTAAACACACGTATAGGCTGGATTTGATCTGTTTGTGGATGTTCCAGTAGTTATGAGGATGGGCTCTGGAGTCTTAGGTTGATTTCTGACTCGTCCATTCTAAGCCCCAGTTTTCTGATCTATAAAATGGGATTCTACCTTATAGGATTCTTCTTTTGTTGTGTGTTTTTTCTTCTTTTTCCCCATAGAATTCTTATAATCAAATGAAATGCTGAAAGCACTTAACATGTGAGGTGGACTCCTCATAAAATCTACAATCTAGTGGAAGAGTCAATAAATGAATCTCATCTGGGAATTATGGAAGGTGTCAATGGGACAGTGGCATTTAAAGAGACTTGAAGGATGAATTAATTGGGTAGAGAAGTGGAATAGGAGGAGGGGAAGGGCATAACAGGCAGAGGGAACAGAACTCAAGATAGACCTGAAGTAATTATGGAAGCCAAAGCTAAAACAGTGAGGACATAGAGGAGACAGTCCTTGGCAGCTAAGGATCTTCTGATAAATATGAGCCAGACAGAGACTGTAAGTCCTAACAAATTTAGGATTTCATACATACTGACTAGTGGTTAAGTTCCTCTGACAGAAAAACCAAACCTCTAACCCTCTCCTCTAAACACAGAAGAAACAGTGAAGCCTTGGGGTAAAAAATAAGTAGTTTTCCAGGCAGAGAAAGATTAAGAAGACAGGTAAGAAGGCACGGAGGTGAGAAGCAGTTACATTTGCTTTGGCAACTGAGGTGTTTAGGGCAAGGGTCCCCAACCGCTGAGCACTCACATTATTACCTGAGCCCCTCTTACCCCCTCACCCCCACCCGTCTGTGGAAAAATTGTCTTTCACCAACTGGTCCCTGATGGCAAATAGGTTGTTGGGGAGCGCTGGTTTAGGTTTATGCCTCCAAAGCTGGCTGGAGAGGGGACACCCAGGGGTGTCCAATCTGGAGCCAATGGGCTGCATGAAGCCCAGGATATCTGTGAATGTGGCCCAACACAAATTTTATATTTACTTAAAACATTATGAGATTTGTGAGTGTGTGTGTGATTTATGTGTGGCCCAGAGACGCCAAAGGTTTAGGCACCCCTGGCCTACAACTTGAGGTTGAAGTAGGACCTCTCAGTCAAGTGGAGAATGGGCGCCCCCTGGTAGCAGTGCTGAGTAGTAGAGTCTGGAAGACCAAACTGAGGAGTTCTAGGGGTGGAAGAGCGGGGCTCAAATGGGGATTGCCTGCCCAGACAGTTTTCTCTCGCATGAGCTAACTTTTTCCAGCATGATGGGTTCCCGGGATCCCAGAACAACTGGGCTAGAAGGGATCTCAAAAAAGGAACTACCACTGTGTGTCCCGTGTCAAGTCCTAAGGTGCGCACTTTTGTGACCATTGTCTTAACACACCTAACTCGGCTTGGAGACGGGTATCATTACAGTATCCCCATTTTTCAGATGTGAAAACCCAAGTTTGGTGACTTCCCAAGGAGGGACGGGGATTTTGCATGACTTCAGAGCCTTTTCCCTGGTACCCTCAACACCTGAAAGATACTTATTCCCTGAGATCTGGGGGAACAATCCTCGGGTGTGAGGCTTACGAGCTTTCCAAGGACATCAGCGTGATGGTGCTTTTGCCCACAACCACGCCTCCCTTGTCACAACAATACTGATTAGTATTGCTTTCCTTTGAGGGCCTCCCCTGAAATATGAAGTCGTCGCCACACGGGGAGGCGGGCATTATACAATCCTGGATCGCCCAGACTTCTTTCTGTTTCGCCCGCTCTGAAGCCCACTAATGACAAAAATTCTCCCCCTCCACTAGCGAGTGGAGGCGTGGGACTACATTTCCCGGCAGGTCATTGGGAAGGGGGTAGCTAGGAGAGGGCGACTACAGGTTTCTGTTTGCTCGTAGTTTGGCCTGTCTCCCGAAATACGCATTTCTACAGTCCACATCCTTTCGCTACAGAAGCTAAAGAACTACGTTCCCCAGCAAGCGTTGCCGCAGAGGAAGAGCGGTAGGCCGCCATCTTTATTGTAGTCCTTTCCCCCGTTTCTACAGGGAGTAGCCTTTGGCCCTGGACTACAAATTCCAGGTCATCCTCCCAACTTCCTTTGGCCGCCATCTTTGCCGGTTATCCCCGCCCCTTTTTTATTTCCATTGTTTCGACTGAAGATAATAGAGAGGGGACTGGAAGACTGCAACTCCCGTCAGGCTTTGCGCACCGGGAAGGGTATTTCGATGTTAAGATGCGGACGAGGTGCCCAAGGTGGTAGAATGAGGTGATGGGGAGAGGCTCGGTAGCCTGCCATCTTTACAGTAGTCTCCTTAACCTCCCGGTTTCATCATTCTTAAGGAACACTAGCAGGCTAAAAAAACTACTAATCCCATCGCACCCCATAAGATCGACTACTATTCAAGTTGTACGCCCCTCTTCCGCCATCTCGTTTGTAGTCCTCGTTCCTTTTCACCTTTCCATTGTTCCTGACGAGTAGAAATGGCAGCGGGAAAGCAGCAGATGAACTGCGACTCCCGTCAGGTACCACTCACGCGGAGGGTTGTGGACAGAAGGGCGTGTGAGTGCCTGGGAAGGAGGTCGGGTCGAGGGAGAAGGCCATCTTGTTTGTAGTCACCGTCCCCGCTCCTTGTGTATGCTCTGCAAAGGGGAGCCTCGAGTGAGCCGGACTATAACTCCCGGCATCCTCGGCTCCCTGCTTGGCAGGCCTTCCGCCATCTTCTTTGTAGTACCCACTAACCCCAGCACCCCATTGTTCCCACGGTAGCATCTGTGGCCGCTGGACTACGACTTCCGTCGTTCCCTGCGCGTGTTCGTCCTGGCAAGTGGAGTGGTGGGACAAGGAGGAGGCAGGGGGCGGGGTTCCTCTGGGAGAAGGAGGGAGTAAAGAGGTGGAGGAGGGAAGGAGGAGGGACAGGAGGGGTAAGAGAGGAGGAAGGAGGAAGGAGCTCAGGAGGGATGAGAGAGGCGGCCAGGGCCCCGGGCCGAAGCAACACCGGGCCGGGGGACCAGGGGGGCTGAGGCACCCCGATTGTTCCCTCCCCGTTTGCCTACCTTTCCATTCTTTCCTTCCACCCTTCTGCTTGAAGAAGGGAATTTATTCAAATTTTATTTAAATCCCTATCTCTGGAGGGTCGCGCGCTGGGGGGAGGGGGAGAGGGCAGGGGCTTACGCAGGCTGGGGGGGCGGGGCCGAAGCAGCTTACTTCACCCCCCTCGGTTCGCCAGATAGTAGTAGGGTCAGGGGCCGCAGTCCAGGGGCGGGCCCAGGGGAGGGGGGCAGGTTACAGGGACCCCCCCCTCCCCGGGAAGCGGCGGTGGGCGGGGCTTGAACCCCGGAAACGGTGGGGGGCCCAGGCCTGGACCTGGACCCCTGGGCAGTGGGGGCTGGAAAGGGGACAGTTTAAAGGGTCCGGGGCGCTGGGGAGAGGTAGGGCGGGGTTGGGGGAGGGGAGCTGGGACTCGGACCCGGGACTGAGTGGGGCCCGGGCAGAAGCCGAGCACCCTGCGTCCGAGAAGCCCCCGTTGGCCTGGGGGGGCTGAGGGACTGAGCCCCCCAGAGCAGGACCTCCCCCTGGAAGGGCCGCGCCGCAGCCCGTGGGAGGGCCTCGCCCCCGGCGCCCCCCATCTCCACTCGCTGCCGTCCCGGCCTCCGCCGGAGGGAGGGGCCGAGCGCCCTCGGGGGGCCGTGGACCCCGGCGTTCTGAGCGTTCCGCGCCCGGCGCCGCCCGGCCCCCCCGCCGTCGATGGCCGCCGACCCGCCGGGAGCTGCCGAGAAGGGAGAGATGGCTCCCGGGACACGTGTGAGGTGGGTTCATGCGACTCCTCCTCACCCCCAGACCTAGGCAGCTCCCACTCCCATTCATCCTCAGCCCAGCCTCTTTACCTTCCCCGCCCCCAGTCTCACCCTTTCTCTCCTCCAAACTCCTCATCTCCAGTCCTTCATCCTGTTACCTTTCTACCCGGGGGAACTGACCTTCCTTCCTAGACCCGCCTTCCCCTTGCAGACCCCCATCCCTGCCTGCAGTCGCCGCCCTCCAGGCTCCTCCCTTGGAGCCCTGGAGGGCCCCTTCCCCACCCCCTAGGTGGATCTGGAAGCCCCTGGAAAGGGGGAAATTGGGGTAAGACTCGGGCCATGAAGACCCTCCAGGCCTGCTGGGATCTTGGAGGATTTGGTTTCCATGGGAAAGGGAGCCCGAGGGATTCTAGACAATTAGGATTGGAAAGCAGACTGGGAAGCTGGGCATGGGGGACATATGTACCAACCCATCCTGAGTTGTGTGAAAATGTCAGGCTGGGTTCTAGAATCCCAGGGAATCTGGGAGGTTGCCGGGTTCACCTGAGAGAGATGAAAAGAGGGGGTCTTAGGGCAGAGGAAGCTCTATGAGAAGCAGAGGAATTGAGGTCTTGGGCGGAGGAGGGACTTTGAAGCAGCATTTCAGGGGGTGTCCTGGAAATTGGGCAGCAGAGTGAATTTTTAGGGATGGGGATGGGTGGGGCAGGGATCCCTTTGGATCTGGTGATAATATCTAGGTTTGTGGGGAAGATAATTGTGTGTGAGAGAGAGAAAGGAGGGAGAAAGGTCTGGAGCTTCTACTCAAGAATCTGTGGATACTTAGAGGTAAATCTGGGGAATTTTAGTCTGGGGAGAGCATGGGTGGGGTGTAGTACAGATAAGGAGTCCTTGCTTTCCAAGCAACTTTGATGTGGGATTCCAGTGGAGAGGCCCATGCCCCTTCATCTTCCTTGGGTTAGTCAGGGGGGCGCTTGAGGAAGTGTTAGAGGAGGAGTGAGATTAGGAAGCCAAGTTCTCAGACTCCCAGAGGAGCCAGGTGAACTGCTTGGGAGAGATAGGACCTGAGGGAGTGGTTCCCCCCAGCCCCTGTAGGAGGAGTGACCTCCATGTTCCTTATCTCCCTGGGGAGGAGGAGGACAAGCTCTGGCTGCCTAGAAGTGGGGGGAGCTGTCAGGAGTTTCTCTGGTCAGGGCTGTAGGAGGCCCAGCTGACCCTGTCCTCATTCACCCACAGCCCTCGGCGTTGCTGACGCCCCCAATGTCGTCGAGCAGCCGGGGGCCGGGGGCCGGAGCGCGCCGACGCCGAACCCGCTGCCGCCGCTGCCGGGCCTGTGTGCGAACTGAGTGCGGGGACTGCCACTTCTGCCGAGACATGAAGAAGTTCGGGGGGCCTGGGCGCATGAAGCAGTCGTGCCTGCTCCGGCAGTGCACTGCCGTGAGTTCTACCCCTGCTTTGGGGACCCTGGGTGCTCTTCCGCAGCCAGCCTAAATGCTTTTCTGGGATGACTGGTGGTTGCTTCCTAGGGTAGAGTTGCTGTTTGTTCACTCATTCATTCACTGGTTTGTTCAAGTGTCCATCGGGCCCATATTTTCCCGCCAGTTCCAGTTGAGGGCAATGTTAGGATACACAGAAGAATCCAACCCAGTCTCTACCGTCACACTTTTTCCAACTTTTCAGAGAGGCAGAGCTCTAGAAAACCTGGCCCTTCTTGTCCCACTTTCTAGAGGTATCTGTGCACAGCAGCCCACCCCAGAGTTAGTGCCTGTGAATAGGTCTTAGCCTTCTTTGTCCTCTTCCTCACTTGCTAGAGTGGTCTTAGGTTTGAGGCCAAGCTTACCCTTTGTGTGACCTTGAACCAGTCACTTGGAATCTCAAGGTACCAGTCTGCAAAATGTTTCTTTTGTTGAGTTATTACAGTAGCACAGATACGAAAGTGCCCACTACAAGGTCTAGCACACAGTAGGTATCTAAGGAACATAGGTTTCTTCTCGACTGTCTCCATCCGTTGAGCTTCCCAGACTCCCAAAGAGCGGCCCTTCCCTAGCAGCCATGAGCCGCCGCAGCATCCTCTGTCCCTCTGCCTACACCACCATCTCCTTTTTTCCCCTCCAGCTGCTCTTCACTGCTTGGTGTCCTCACCCCAGAGCTCCTTTCTTCTCTGTCTCCCAGCTCCAGCCCATTTTTCTGTTCCTTCTTCCCCCTACCTGCTTCTTCCTTGAGTCTGTTTCAACCTTCTGCATCCCTAGTAAGACTCAGTTCTTCTGAGTCTCACATTCTCGGAAGGCTGCTCCCTCTTCCCCAGGATTGGCCTTTAGTGTTCCCAGGGGTTTTGCCCAAACCAGGTTCATTGCGAGGTCCAGAGCACCCTAGGCTGCCCATGGAGCAAACCCAGAATCATCCCAGGCTGCTATTGTATCTCCTCCAGCCCTCTCTGAGTATTATCGTCATATTTGCCTGTGGTCTGTCTTCCTCCCCAAACCAGCTACAATTCCAGGGTCATACAGGCCCCGGATCCAGCTGAGTATTCACAACAGTGAGAACAAACTGTATATTGACTGGTCCTCTTGCATTATCTCATTCTTAAAATAGTCCTTCACAGGAAAGTTCCTAGCCCCATTTTACAAATGGAGAAACAGAAATAAGGAAAGTCAAATGAGTTGCTCAAAGTCATGCTGCCAAGAAAGAAGAAATAAGAAATTCAAGCCCTGGCTGGTGTGGTTCATTTTGTTGGAGTGTTGTCCAGTAACCAAAAGGTTGCAGGTTCAGTTCCGGGTCAGGGCACATGCCTGGGTTGTGGGTTCACCCTGGTCCAGGCATGTACGGGAAGGCCACCAGTCGGTGCATCTCTTTTGCATTGATGTTTCTCTCTCTCCTTTCCTCTCTCTCTAAAAAGAAAACAGTGGAAAAATGTCCTCAGGTGAGGGTTAAAAAAAGAAATTCAAGATTTGACCCACCTTGGCCCGTAGGGTCTGAACCTCATCCAACAGCTGGCCAAGGTTCCCCAGAAGAAGAGTTTTTCCCTTGTTGCTTGCCTTCAGGGTTTCTGATGCCCCTTCTCCTCCAACAGCCCGTGCTCCCACACACAGCTGTGTGCCTCTTGTGTGGGGAGGCTGGAAAGGAGGACACAGTGGAGGGAGAGGAAGAGAAATTTGGTTTGAGCCTCATGGAGTGTACAATCTGCAATGAGATCGTCCACCCTGGCTGCCTGAAGGTGATGGCCCTGGGGAAACTGGAGTCCGGGATGGGGCAGATTGTAAGGGAGCAAGGGAGTGGGGAACACTGCCTCCGGGTTTACTGATACCTGTATCTACTTCCCTGCCCACAGATGGGGAAGGCTGAGGGTGTCATCAATGCAGAAATTCCTAACTGCTGGGAGTGCCCTCGCTGTACCCAGGAAGGCCGGACTAGCAAGGTAGGGGCAGGGACTGGGCTGGGTGCTGTCCTCTCAGTAGGCAGTGGTTTGGGGAGCTGTTTAGAATCTCACCCCCAGCATCTGTCTCCTCAGGATTCAGGTGAGGGACCAGGCCGCCGCAGGGCTGACAATGGCGAGGAGGGCGCCAGCCTGGGGAGTGGATGGAAGCTGACTGAGGAGCCCCCGCTTCCACCACCCCCACCCAGGCGCAAGGGTCCCCTGCCTGCTGGGACCCCCCCAGAGGATGTGCCTGGGCCCCCCAAAAGAAAGGAGAGGGAGGCAGGGAATGAGCCCCCCACCCCAAGGAAAAAGGTGAGCCAGGGATCATGCTCAGTAGGTTCAGCCCAAGGGAATCTGGGAGGGGTAGTCCTGTTACTTTTTGAGGAGGGTGGGCCTGGGAGGCAGTGCTCAACAAGTTCCCTCAGAGGTTATTGAGAGATGTAGTTCAGAAGGTGTTGAGGGGAGGATGGGGCATGCTCATTGAGGAGAGGTACAGGTGAGGGACAGCTGGCATTGGGCAGGGAAGCTTTGGGAGCCCTGGGTACTTGAAGGATTAGGGGAGGAGGGTACTGGAAACTGCTACAGAGGAAGAAGGGGAGGGGCTGGAGGGAGGGAAGGGAAGATGAGAGTGTGCTTACCCGAGTGAAGACACTGGTTGGAAGGTGAGCATGCTCAAAGCTCTCCTTGGGATAGGGGCTTCTGGGAATTGTAGTCCAAGAAGAGGATGGGTCTTAATTTTGTGGACAATGTGGGGCTAATAGGTCTCTCCCTTTTCCCATGTCTCTCTCTTTAACTGTTAGGTGAAAGGAGTCCGTGAGAGGCACCTGAAGAAGGTGGGTGGAGATGCCTGCCTCCTCCAAGGATCGGACCCAGGCGGCCCAGGCCTTCTGCCCCCCAGGGTTCTGAATCCAAGCCAGGCTTTCTCATCCTGCCACCCTGGGCTCCCTCCCGAGAACTGGGAGGTGTGCCGGGGATCTTCTCCCTCCCTCTCCCATCTTTCCTTGCCCTACCCCCTTCCTGGAGACCAAGATCTTGTCCCTGCCCTGCCCCTGCCTCCCCCCGCCTTGGACATGATGAATATCTAGACCCTTGGGAAGAGTAGAGGGAGAGAATGGGTTGGGGGCTAGGCCATATGAGTCCCTGACTTTCCAAGAACCCTTGGAGTATTATCTGATCCTTTTATATCATCTTGCCAAACCTTAAAGGAGAAAGAAATGAGTCCAAGTCCCTGCCCACTGATTCCCTGTGAGGTCTTAGCAAATTGTCAGCTGCTTTGAACCTCAGCTTTCTTGTCAGGGAAATGAAGATGATACCATCTTCCTTATCCACCTATCTCTCAGAACTGTTTAAATCTACTGAAAGTAAATGAAGGGCTTTGTAAATTTTAAAACTTACCTAAATTCAAGGAAAATGAGGCCCAGAGAGGTTAAAAGACCTGCCCAGTATCACACAGCAAAGCTAGATATCAGCTGTCACTTTGTATGGACACACTAAATGCAGGGGTCTGCCTGGGTGCATCCAAATCCTGGCTCTGCCATTTGTCACTTTGGCATTTAATCTCTCTGAGCCTATTTTCCTCGTGTCTAAAAGGAGTGACCCAAGTTCCCACTCCATTCAAGCACTGTGAGGATGCGATGAGTCAGCAAGTACAGAATTCCCTGCCTGGAATCAGGAGATCTTTGTTGCTGTTATACTGTTGACTGGACACTTGGAATTGTCTACTCCAACATCCCATGTTGTGGATGATGAGGCAGGGGCTTCCCAAGGTCACACAGAGAGTTGAGAGCTGGACCAGTATTCAGATTTGCATGTCTATTTTCCATACCATACTGCTTGTGGAAATTGATGAGCTATTGAAACCCATAAGGCTTTCAGTCCTTTCAATCAGTGCCTTAATGTGACAGATAAAGAAAATGAAATTCAAAGGGACATAGCTTGGCTGATGTCTTACATTGTTCAGAACCAGTGCTGGAACTCAGCTATCTCTTGGGCTGTTCATCCCCTGGTGACTTTTCATAGGGTGGGGTGGGAAATTGTGTGTCAGACTCTAGAACAGTTCTCTGTCTCCCTGCAGAAACCAAAACCACCTTTGACCTCTGCCGAGGGCCCAGCAGCGCCATCCCCATCACCACAGAGGGAGAAGCTAGAGCGTTTCAAGCGGATGTGCCAGCTGCTAGAGCGGGTGCCTGACACCTCTTCGTCCTCCTCAGACTCAGACTCAGACTCCGACTCATCAGGCACATCGCTGAGTGAGGACGAGGCCCCTGGCGAGGCCCGGAATGGGCGACGGCCAGCCCGGGGCAGCTCAGGCGAGAAGGAGAACCGTGGAGGACGACGGGCTGTACGCCCTGGCAGTGGGGGGCCCCTCCTCAGTTGGCCGTTGGGCCCCGCTCCACCGCCTCGGCCCCCACAGCTGGAACGGCATGTGGTACGGCCCCCACCTCGAAGTCCTGAGCCTGACACACTGCCTTTGGCTGCTGGATCCGATCACCCTCTGCCTCGTGCCGCCTGGCTTCGTGTCTTCCAGCACCTTGGGCCCCGAGAGCTATGCATTTGCATGCGAGTCTGCCGGACTTGGAGCCGCTGGTGAGTGGCCTGCATGGGCCTGGGTTCCGGTGCTAACACCCTTCTCACTTTTGGTGAGAATTGCAAAGGGTTCCTGATTATTCCTCCCTGGTCACTATTCTTGTGTTGATACTTTTGTAGTACGTGTACACTATATACTGGGATGCTTCTGTATTTACTATGCCTAGGCTGCTTTCCATTTTTGAGCTCATTTAACCTTTGTAACAACTTCATGAGTTAGGTACTGCTCCCTTTTACAGATGAAGTTGAGGTGTCAAGGTCACGTGGAGAGGAAGCAATAGAACCAGGAATTTGAACCCAGGCCTTTTTGCCCCCAAATCATCTTAACAATATCATTATGAGTGTTTAGTATGTGCCAAGCACAGTACTGACTGCTATATATGCATCATCTCATTTCCTTTTCGCATTTCCTCTTCTGAGGACAATCTAAATGTTCCATTTAGCCCTTTCTGGTGTGGCTCAGTGGATTGAGCACCAGCCTGCCAATCAAAAGGTCATCAGTTCAATTCCTAGTCAGGGCATGTGCCTGGGTTGCAGCCCCAGTCCCCAGTGGGGAATGCATGAGAGGCAACCACACACTGATGTTTCTCTCCCTCTCTTTCTCTCTCCCATCCCCTCTGCCTAAAAATAAATAAATAAAGTCTTTTTAAAAAGAAAAAATGTTTCATTTACATACAAGAAACCTCTCTACTGAGGTGGTCCCTGCCCTCAGCCATACTTGGGCCTCCTGACCCCAAATAATCTCTTCATGTCCCAGAGCCACCACCAACTCCCTCTCCCTGTCTTCCTCCATCTCTCTACTGCTTCCTGAACCTTGTTTATTCAGAAATCTCCTTCATCCTCCCAAACCTTTGGTCTTCCTTCCCCCAGTCAGACTCTCATGGCACTCTGTTCCCCTCACAGCACGATAGAGGCCTTCTGCATGTTGACGGGCCTTCATTTGTTCATTCATTTCCATGTTGCAATTAGTTGCTGGGATGCTGCAGTTACAGTGTCTATTTTATCTCCATGTTCCTAGCATAGGACAAGGGGCAGTGTAGATGTTTAAGAAATGTATTTATTTTACCTTATTTATTTATTTATTTATAGAGAGAGGGGAAGGGGGGGAGAAAGAGAGGGAGAGAATCATCAGTGTGTGGTTGCCTCTCATGCAGCCTCAATTGGGGACCTGGCCCGCAACCCAGGCATGTGCCCTAGACTGGGAATCGAACCAGCAACCCTTTTGTTTGCAGGCCAGCATGTAATCCACCGAGCCACAACAGCCAGGGCAAGAAATATTTTATTAAATAAGTAAATTGAGGCTCTTTCTCAGGCACTTAACTGTGGAATATGTCCTGGAAGAGCTCCCGGTCAGCCTAGCAAATAGTTATGATAGTTGCTGGGGATTACCACCTCTACCTCATGTAGTACTTGATGAAATGTTTGCTGGAGCCTCTTCATCGAGGCCAGCCCCATGCTTGATACATGGGATCCAGAAGTGAAGAGGACTTGATTTCTGCCTCATGAAGAGACTTACGACCAGAAGTAGAGAGGCTGGACTGCACAGTGGTTTCTAGCTTGGGCCCTGGATCTGGTCTTTACAAGTTTCATCATCTCTGACTCTGGCACTTCTTGGATGTGTGGCCATGGTTAGATAGCTATACCTATCAAGGTCTCAGTTTTCTCATCTGTTATTTGGGGTTCATATTACTACCTTGTGGGGATTACCTGAGATGGTTCTTGCAAAGTACTTAGCACAGTTCCTGAAGGGTACTGAACACTCAGTGAAAGGGTGGGTTTTGATAAGAAGAATGAGGGTACGGCAGAGCAGGGGCCTGTGGAGTGGGGCACAATGGGAATAGGAGCTCTGTCAGAACTGGGGGGCAGAAGCAGGGGCTGTGGGGATAGAAAGGAAGGACTCAGGTTGAGAAATTTTTAAGAAGCAGAATAGCTTGTGACTTAAGTGTCTGTTGGGCAACACGATGACTCTGAACTGAGTTTCTGTCCCACAAGCCTGAGTGGGCATCGGTGCCATTCCTCACCAAAGGAAGAGAAGCAAGTTCTAGGGGAAAGTGAATGCACAGACTTGACATGTTTGGTCCACATGTTTGTGGACCAGTGGAGAGCTAGTAGGAAAACAGCCGGATGTACAGGTCTGCTAAAGAGAAAGATCTGCGTTTAGAAACTTGGGACACAGCAGTGAATAAACAGGTGGGAGAGCAGGCAGTTGCAGGTCCTCCTATCTGGTGGCTTCTGTCCTCTTGGAACTAGAAGGTGAAGTGATCTACCAAGAGAAAGGTCCAAGTTTGGGAGTTTTTAACCTGTAGGTATCAGCTTCAAGGAAGAGGGCAGAAGACAGAATGTCGTTGTGTGTGAGTTAGAGAAAGAGCAGCCGGAGACTTGGAAGACATCAGTGGTGGAGGTGTGTTCTGAAGGAGAGTTTGAGGAAGGAGTGAATGACGAATGTTGGCAAAAGGTTGTGGGAGATCAAGGGCCAGAGTAGCAGTTAGATTTTGTTACAAGGAGCCCTTGGTATCCTTGGCCGTTCTACATGGTGGTAGGGGACCAAAGCCAAGTCACATGGGGTCAAGGATATCAACTTTAAGGCAGGGACTTCATCTGTTTGTTTGCTGCTATACCCTGGTTTCTAAGATGGCACCTGGCATACAATAGGCACACACACAAAAAACTTATTGAATGAATGACAGTGAGGAAATCAAGATGGAATGTAAAGAGGTAGTGAGGGTAGAATTGGAGAGAAATTTATTGGTGGGAGAGCAGGAAGTTGCAGGCATTCCTCTCTGGTGGCTTCTATCTTCTCTTGGAACTGTGAGCTGAAGTGATCTACCGAGAGCCGGGGGAGAGAAGGCTGGCAGAAGTGTGGAGGAGTTGTTGAGTTGCAGGGAAGAGGGTTGGGACTTTGTAGGATGTAGGCAGAGAATGGTGGCAAGGAAGGGACTGAACATAGGGTCAAGGCCAGTTGGAGTTGTGAGTAAAGACTTAAGAGATGGACAGATTGGAGGACATCGGTGGCATCAGGGATCCCAGAGAGCTGAAAGGGAAGAACTGGCTTTGGCTGAGGCCCAGGAGGCTGTTGTGCTCTTTACAGGTAGCAGTTTGGGCTGCTCTATCTCTGCCCTCAGAGGGCCTCTGTGAGGTGGGAGAGGACTCTTTTGAAGACTAGAATTTAGGATTTTGGAGATGGGCTTAGTAGGGGGATGACTTACTTGCAGAACTTGAACATCAAACCCTGACCCCCTGGATGATGGCATGCGTTAGCCTCTTAAGAGTTCTTCCTGCTTTTTGCCTTCGTGTTGTTCCCCAGCTTAGGAAGAATCCATCCATGGCTCCCTGTTGCCCTCACAACAAACTCCCACAGTCCTGTTGGACCGTTGGTCAGGAACAGTGCCCCAGTGACTGCACTAAACACTTCCCCTGTATCATCTCACTTCATCTCTGTAGCAAACCTTTGAAGTAAATGCTGCATTTACTCCCTTTTACGGTTTAAAGAATGGAAGTACAGAAGTGGCAGAGCTGGGATTTAGATAGTCATAGTGCTTACACCCTTCACCTCTGGGCTCTGTGGCCATGACAACACAGTGTGGTGTTCTAGCCCTTCTTGACATGTCACCCCTACCCTAGGCCTCCTCTGCAGCCTCACCTCTGCCTCCTCCCCACTTATCAGAGTTCAGGCTCTCCGTCCAGGCCAGCTTGGTTTAAGCCCTGGCTCTGCTCTTATTTAATAGCTGTAGTACCTTGAACATGTTTCTTGGCCTCTCTGAGCCTCGATTTCCTTTACTTTAAAAAGGAGGTGATAGCCCCGGCTGGTGTAGCTCAGTGGATTGAGCACGGGCCTGCGAAGCAGACAGTCGCGGTTCGATTCCCAGTCAGGGCACATTCCTGGGTTGCAGGCCAGTTCCCTGCAGGCCAATTCCCAGCAGGGGACGCACGAAAAGCAACCATACATTGATGTTTCTCTCCCTCTCCCTCTCTCCTTCCCTTTCCATCTAAAAGATAAATTTAAAAAAAAAAAAAGAATCGTTTAAAAAAATTAAAAATTAAAAAAAAAAGGAGGTGATAACAGTACTTACCTCCTAGGGCTGTGGGAAGGTTAAATGCTTAATTCACGGAAGAGTACCTGGCACACAGTAAACCTGGATAAACACTAGTTATTAGTTATCATCGTCATTCTCATTATTAAGAGACAGTAAAGTTGTTCCTGCTACCTGAGGTTCTCAGAGCTCTTGTTTCTCTGTGCCCTGAACCTGGATACTAGCTCTTCCCCATCTAAAATGTACATCCTCTTTCTCCTCTCCCCTCACTGGAATAGTGGCTGCTGTCCTTAAATTCTCATCATGCATTGTCTCCCTGGGGCACTCCCCTGTCCCAGTCCTCTCACTGACTCTTATCGTGTCTTTTGATGCTTCGCTTCTGTGGACAGCTGACTGTGTCTCCCCCATTTTCTGACTGCTTTGTGCCCAGTGGAGGCTGGATATATTACTATCAGTAGGGCACTCAGTGACTGTTGGCTGCCGCTCTGAGGTTTAAGGGACAGATTGGGTCCACCAAAAGAAGAGTCAAGGGAGACTTCCTGAAAGCGGAGGCACTGGAGCTGAAGGATCTGGGTTGGTTGGCATTTCCAGCACAACGTGGGGCAGAATGCGTTGGCACCAGTCAGCCTTGTGTGTTGATAGACTGGCAAGTGGTTTGGCCTGGCTCTTGTGGAATATGATGCAGAAACAAATGGAGGCCTGCGTGTGTCTCCAGGGAGAAGTGTTCCCTTCTAGCCACGGAAGATCCTTGGAGGAGCTTCAGGGTGGTGGTCATAGTTGAGCTGGGACTCAAGATTGGGTCAGAGTGGGCAGAGAGGTTTTGGGTGGAACAGGGTTTTACTAGGTAGAAAGAGGAAAAGGGGCAGGACTTAGGGACAGAAGCTGGGTTGAAGGTAGGGTTTGGTTTTATGTTTTTCCTTTTTAAAATTGGAGACATTTGCAAATATTATTGGTTGAGTGGATGGAACCAGGAGAGGGAGAGGCTAGCATGCCAGAAGAGGGCGGAAATGGGAGGAGGTGGTAGGTGGGACGGAGAGGTGGAGTTATTGGGATTGAAGCCTTAATGTCTGTGCCTCCAGCATTCCCTAACCTGGCAGTCAGGGGCTCTGGAGTGTGCCCGGCAGCTTTAAGTGGTACAAAAACAGGCTTAATTCTTTTATTAATTTTGAAAAGGAAGTCTGTCTATTGTGTGCTATTGTATCTTTAACACCCTTCTTATATTTATCTCCCTGTTTAACAAAAATAGTCTCTAAGCAGTAGCCTAACACCACAGCAACACTCAGCTAGAACTTAATAACCCTGGTCTATTTTTATTGTATTTATTTCTATGGTTAACACATTTATGTGAAACAATACTGGTTTTAAGTACACAGAGGGGATCAATTCATGTTTTGCAGATACGTGGATAACAAATGATTGGGATTTGAGGATCACTGTTCTAGCCCAGGGCTTCTTGAAGAAAGAGCCCTTTAGAATTGGGGGGGGGGTAGAGCTTCCTGGGCCCCTCCCCACCCCTGCTGCTTCTGACATAGTTCATCTAGCCCAGGGGGAAATTCCTGACATGCCTTCAAGAACTTCTGCATTAAGAAGAGTTTTCAAAGGGAGGCTCAAGGAACTTCAGTGTACCACAAAGTATTAATAGATAACCTTGGGAGAGGTAGGGAAATGTTCCCTGGTAAAATAGGTTTGGGAAGCCCTTTTCCAGTTCACTTCGTGTTGGACTAGTTAAGGCTCTCAGAAATGCTGGGATCGGGAAACCAGTTTTAACTTTGTTCAGGCTTCATTCATCTTCGTAGCTTATTCAATACCTTGGACATGCTAGGTCTTTCATAAACATTGACTAAGTTGCCCTGGCTGGTGTAGCTCAGTGGATTGAGTGTGGGCCTTCGAAGGAAAGGATCACAGTTCAATTCCTAGTCAGGGCACATGCCTGGGTTGCAGGCCAGTTGCCAGCAGGGGGCACACAAGAGGCAACTATACATTGATACTTCTCTCCCTCTCTCCTTTCCTTCCCCTCTAAAGATAAATAAATAAAATCTTTAAAAAAATTGACTAAGTGAATAAATGAAAGGCTGTAAGTGAAGTATGTTGTGGGGGGTGCTCAGTGGAAGCTTGGTACTATTTGTTCATTCAACTAAAGCGCATTAGGTAACCTACTATGCACCTGGCACAGTGCTGGGTATTTGGGGAAAACAAAGGGAAAAGGCCAGATCTGCCCTTGTGAAGCCTACATTGTAGTTAGCAGTACACAGTAATTGAGTAAAGAGAGCAAATAGAGCTATAAGTAAAGCCTTGGGCACCTTGCCACCAGGATGGGGTAGATGAGAATCAAGGGCAGAAACTAGTAGAGGAGATGAAAAGTGCCCGTAAGCCAACAACATAACTTAGAGAGCAGTCGGTATGGGGGGGGTTGGGGTTGCTGATAGATACCATTGGTGTTACAACAAATACAACATATAGGGTGTTTGTGTGTGTCTTTGGCGGAATGTATTATGAGTTGGGAGGTACAAAAACCAGAAAGACCTATTTGACCTTACAGCAGTCCTGTGGGGCAGGCTAAGGGTCATTATCTTCGTTTTCTAAACTAGGCCTCTGAGGCTCAAGAAGAATGGAATTTTCCTAGGGTCTTGCATCCAGTTAGTGATGTTCTTGAGCCACAAATTCAGGGCTCTTGGCCTGGGTCCTGGAGCTTCCTGCACCTGACCCCTACCTTCTGTATGGATCCGGGAGAAAACTGGGTGAACTGGTGAGTGTGGTAAGGCTTCTGGGCTTCCTGAGAACTGAGGGCTCTGTCTACCCCCTTGTGGCTGGCAGGTGCTATGACAAGCGTCTGTGGCCTCGAATGGATCTGAGCCGGCGGAAGTCACTGACTCCACCGATGCTTAGTGGTGTGGTTCGTCGCCAGCCCAGAGCCCTGGACCTCAGCTGGACAGGTGTCTCCAAGAAGCAGCTCATGTGGCTTCTGAACCGACTGCAAGGTATGGCATAGTGGTGAGGTAGGATAGGGTGAGATGGGGGATAGACCTGGCAGAGAGCTCTCTTAGCACCAGCTTCCTAACTTCCTCCAGGCCTGCAGGAACTGGTGCTGTCTGGCTGCTCCTGGCTCTCTGTCTCGGCCCTGGGCTCAGCCCCACTGCCAGCCCTTCGGCTCCTGGACCTGCGCTGGATCGAGGATGTTAAAGATTCCCAGCTCCGTGAGCTGCTGCTGCCTCCGCCTGACACCAAACCAGGTGCAGCCTACATTGTCTGTTGTAGAATGGGTTGGGCAAGGTGAGGGTATGACGCCTCCGGTATCTCTTGTGACTCATGCTAGGTGTTAAAGTTTTAAAGAAAGGATAGAACACTTGAGTTTGGATAGGAGGACCCTGCTTTGCCATTGCTCATTCATTCACTCACCGGCTGTGTGCTGGGCTTTGTGATAGGAGTGGGGGAACATTCCTGCCCTTTGGGGGGAGATAATTATGGGATTAAGCACAATATGGGGTAAAGCAAATACAGGACCCTGAATTCTGAGAGGAGCCAGGGCGTGTGAGTGAAGTCACTGGGTGTTGTGGCCTCTACTGAAGAGCCTCCTCCAAAGGGAGTGTGGCAGTGGCCATGGAAGAATGTGGGCTCCATGTGGCCAGTCAGTTCTGTTTGTTAAGATGAACCAGAAATACGTATTTTTCTGTGACATCCTGGCTTTTAAATGATGGAAATCGGTTCAGATTCTTTTAAAATTCATATGTGAGCCAGTGAAAATATGGCTGAGCAATGGATTCCCTAGATTCCCTTGCCTTACAGTAAAAAGATACAGATTTTCCTCAGGGAAAAGAACAGAAAGAGGGAGCCGACTGACTTGGAAGGTTGCATGGAGACGGTATCACCATCTCTCCGGTCAGAGCAGCCACCTCTTCACCATAAGTCAGGCCCAGGTACCCTGCCAAGTGAAGTCACCTTTTACTGTTGAACACATTCTTGGCTGGTCCTGTGTAGGACCCCGGAGACCTCAAATTGAACCAGCCCCATTCCCCATCCTGGTAGAACCCCAGTCATGCAGGAGAGGGACTCAGAAAGAGAAGGTTATAACGATGTGGCTGTAAGGGCTGTGGTCGGGGGAGGGGGAGCAATGAAAGAGGCCCTCTTTGAAAGGAGCTATTTGAGCTGAGTCCTGTAAGGGACAGGGTTTTCTAGGGAATGTGAGGCAGAACAAGTAGTTTTGTGGGGCAGGAGGCCTATATTGCCTGAGGGGAATGCTGGGAGCTGAAGCTGGTCAGGTGATCTGAGAGGCCTGGTTACCTGGGGGGTCATTTGGAGGTGTGAGTGTGGGGGCACTGAGGCCTTGGGGGCTCCTTGTCTATTTGAAATGAGATGCTCACAGTAGCATCTTCCTTGGTCTGCACCAGTCTGTTCTCCACATCCAAGTCAGGAGAACCATCCAGAAAGACAAATCTAGCCATTTCACTCCTGTGCTATAAACTGTATTTCATTGATTCCCTGTGTTCTTTGGATAAAGACAAGTATTTTACTACAGTTGCTAAGACCTGGCGTGGTCTGGTTTCTGCTGACCTGTGTGATCCTTGCATCTTAGCCACCTCATCCTCTTTGCCAAGTTTCTTCCAGCTCCAAGGCCTTTGCCCACTCTTCTTGGCCCAGTATGCTCTATCTCCTTCATCTAATTAACACCTAATCACCCTTTAGGCTGCATAGTAAATACCACCTCCTTCCAGAAGCCCTTGATGATACTATCCCCCATTGAGATCGAGTTCCTCTTTAGCTTTGAGAGCAGTCCCCTCCTAGCAGATCAGTGTACTGTTATGAAATGGTTTGATTAACATGTTTCCTCTCACTGGGTTCTTTAAGCTCTGTGAGGGCAAGAACTATCACCTTGCCCATGCACCTTGCTTTCATAGTTCTCTGAAGGCTTCCTTTTTCCCCCTCCCACTCTCCCCTCCTCCTTCTACAGCAGCCTTGAAAGAGGAGTAGCAGCGAAGCAGCTAGGATTCTTTGCATTTTCTGAACAAGGCACCAGAGGCCCAGAGGGGTTAAGTGACTGCTGCAAGTCACATAGGCCAAGCCAAACCAGAGCTCGCCCATTGCCCCCTCTACTGGAAATGGACTGAGCCTGGAAGATTTGGGCGTGGGTAAGGGTGGGCATTGGGAAGAGTACATTCCATGAGGTGAGGAAGCGCTGGTTGGCTGGCAGACTGACCCCTTCTCCTTCCTGAATTCACTTTAGTTTGAGCCCCTTTATCAGGAGTTTGCAAAGATGAGTTTTCTGGGCCCTTGAGACCTATTGTACCTGTTGGAACTCTATACTTACCTTTCTGATCTTGACTCCCTGGTTCTGACAGCATTCCTAGAGCAAAACTTAAAATTCTGCTTCTTGCTTTCGCCCCTGCTATTTTCTGCCTGGTGTAGTCTTCTCCCATCTCTCCACATGGTCAGTCTTTGAAGGCCCCGCTTAAATGCTGCCCCTCAGTGAAACCCTCGCTGGTCCCCCCTTTTCTCCACCTGAGCCAGAGTGCCCTCTTTCCTCTGCTTCCCTCTAATGGCTTTGGATGAGGCAAAGCCATTAGAATATGTCTACAGATGGCCCAAGGTTGAGGGCATCTGTAGATATATTCCCTTTCTAGGCTTTTGGCTTTTCAAAGCCGAAAAAACAAGGGAGTGGAAGTCAGAGCTTGCAAAGTCAAGTACCCACAGAGTCGGGACAGACAACAAGTGGCAGGCTTGGTGCAGGGCATTAATAAGGAAGCCCTAGCAGCCCAGTGATACCAGATGTTAACAGTTCTCAAGGAGAAGCTCAATGTCTAAATTTCTTTATAAAAATGTCCTTTTTTGTAGGCTTAATCACATAGAAAATTTTTAGCATTGTGCAAACTCCATAACACTCTTGTGTGTCTGATCTAGTTTATCTATAAGCTAGGCTGGTGCCTAGGGGTAAATAGTGTTGTGATAAGAGTTTGGACTTGGAGTCACCAGGCCTGCTATGCTAGCTTTGTTACTTCATAGTCACGTGACCTTGGACCAGTTGCTCAAGAATTTGAGCCTCCATTTTCTCATCTGTAACAGGAATGCTAGCTAGAGGACTTGTCTCCTGAGGCTGTGGTTCTTAAAGCGTGGTCTTCAGACCAGTAGCCTCAACATCACTGGAGAACTTGCTAAAAAAAATAAATGCTGAGGCCCTAACTTAAAGTACCTAAACTCTGGGGGTAGGGCCAGCAATCCATTTTAACCATCCTACCAGGGGACATAGTTTGAGAGCTGCTGGCCTAGGAGCAGACAGCCCCCTAGCCTGTGTTTGGCCCACAGTGAATGCTCAGTGACTGCTGCCACCACAGGTGTACCAAACACTGTAATGCCAGGAATGTGGTAAATACAGTGAAAGGGAAACAGACCCTGTGCTTTTGGTGCAGAGACAAGCAGTGTAAGCTCTTCTAACCCCAGAGACAGGTGAAGAGGAGGACCCGGAGCTCAGACCTGAAAGCCAGGTACACTGGCCAGGCCAGGCAGGAGACTGAGCATGGGTGGCCGTAGGGAGAGTGCCTCAGGGGCAGGGGCAGCTGTGGGTTTTGGCCCAAGTACTTGGGGGCGAGGAAGAGGAATTAAGAGCTGAGAAAGGGATAAGACCTTATAGGAACTGGAATGTTCCTCCAAGGAGATGGGACTTCGAGGTGCTGTCAAGAGTTTTTAGCAGAGAAGTGATAATATTGCCCTACCTAGTGTTTGAGAATGGCTCTCTTTGGATTTCAGGAAGAATAGGAGAGAGTAGAGTGAGTAATGAGGCTGGGGCAGAATGAGGTAAGAGTGGTGTTGACTCAGAGTGGTGAAATGGAGAAAAGGAGAGAAAGGAATCCGGTTGGTGACTTCACTAATCATAGAAGCAGAGGGAAGTGGAAGAGCAGCCTGGAATGGCAGTCCTATCAGGGATGTTATTTGTTGCATGAATGGCTGTAGATGATCTATGTGCCAATGTTTGGGATAAAGGAAGAACAAGACAGACAAAAATAATACAGGGAAGGGGTAGAACTTTGTGGAATATTATAGTTTCAAATGGAGTAATTATGACAGGCATCACTGAGGAGGCAGTGTGAGCAATGAACAGATGAGATGAGGTCAGACATGTAGGTGTTTGGGAGAAGAGCAAGCCATGCAGAGTGCCAGAGAGGCTCACATACAGTGGGAGCAGATTTAGGGGGTGGTGAGGAATATGAATGGAAACATAGCTTGTCTTGTTGCCTAGTTGTACGTATGGAAGCAGGGAAGTACTGACCTCTTATCTGTCTACCCAGGGCAAACGGAGAGCCGTGGGCGGCTGCAGGGGGTAGCAGAGCTCCGCTTGGCAGGCCTGGAGCTGACAGATGCTTCCCTGCGGCTCCTGCTGCGCCATGCGCCCCAGCTGAGTGCCCTGGACCTGAGCCACTGCGCCCACGTCGGGGACCCCAGCGTCCATCTCCTCACAGCCCCCACCTCCCCACTCCGAGAGACCCTGGTACACCTCAATCTTGCTGGTAAGCATGGTCCCATCTGTCTTGCTAGGCTGTTGGTCCCCATGACCAGTACCTACCCCTACTCACTTTCCTGGTGTTGGCTACCATTGCCCCGTCCCCAGGTTGCCACCGCCTCACTGACCATTGCCTTCCGCTGTTCCGTCGCTGCCCTCGTCTACGCCGTCTAGACCTGCGCTCCTGCCGCCAGCTCTCACCAGAAGCTTGTGCCCGGCTGGCAGCTGCTGGGCCTCCTGGCCCCTTCCGCTGCCCAGAAGAAAAGCTGCTTCTCAAGGACAGCTAGTTGGGTGCCCCCCACTCTCCCCCAGGACTCATCAGGAGCCTGGACCCCGGGCCTTCATTTCACTCCTGCCAGGAGGCCAGGTCGCCCACCTCATAACTTGGGATTCCTGAGTTTTCAGACTTGGGATTCCTGCCCAGGGACTTGAGCCAGCCTCCCCACTCTTTACCCCCTGCACTGATATTTCTGGGGGTCTCTCCCTCCCATCTCCTCCCCTTTCCACCTGCTTCATTGTCCATCCCCTGGGGGGAGTGAGTCAGAGGTACTGGGGGTTGCCGAGCCAAAGGGATGGTGGGAGGGGGGGTAAGGTGCAAGTTTGAGGGAGGGAGAATGGGGGAAATGTATCTACACACAAGATACTGGGAGCCAGGGGCTGGGGGAGGTGGAGGATGGGCTGGGGTGGGGGGCACAGAACGCAGACCACCAAGGGTGCAGGGAACAGACCAGATTCTTGGAGTTGTAGGGGAGGGGCAAAAAGGGAAACTAGCGGAGCAATTAGGTGTTGCGGGAGGGGGGGACTGGGGCAACCAGGGAAAGCCAGGGCTAAGAGGAGTCCAGGGGTTGGGGCAAGAGCAGGTGTGGGGGTAGTAAGTACTCCCTCAGGGGGTCACTCCTCCCCTTACTCCCTCCCCAGTTTCAGTTCTTCCCCCAACCCTGACTCTTTGAAAGTCACTGACAATGGCAGCTATTGCGAGGAGTGGGGGCCAGCTGGCCTACCTGCTGTTCAACGTGGCCCAGGGGAGTGGTGAGGGGTACCCCAGCCCCCTACCTGCCTTCCCACTCAATACTTGAACATTCATCTGTACTTAAGTGTTACTTGAACCTGGGGAACCTCGAACCTAGGGGAGCCGGAGTGTGAGGGGCCTGTGACCGCTTGGACTGAGACTGGACCGGTGGGCACCCAGTTTGGACTGCGCCACCAGCAGGCTCTCTCTTGCTTTACTGTATTGAGCAGCTCCACCCCTGCTGACCTGCAGTGGGGTGGGGTGCCAGCCCAAGGATGGGGAAGATGGGACAACTCCAGTATGGCTCTTCCCACTCGTCGTCATGGAAGCTTGTATCCCATTTGTCCAGGGAACTGCCACTCCTGGTTGCCATGGAAATAGCCAATGGACGTGTCCCAAAGCCAAGGCTAAGGCTGGTAATAGCCCCTCTTGGTTGCCATGGGAATTTAGTAACACTCTTGGCCCGCCCTTGCTCCTTCCTTCTGTGGTGGGGCGGGGTTAGGGGAGGCAGTGCACGCCCCTCAGCCCAGGCCTCCTGGGGAGCTGGGTTGTACCAAGTAGGGGAGGGGGGAATTTATCCACATACCTCAGGTATCAGGGCGGTGCACGGGTGGGGGGAGGGAATGGGCGGACCAAAGGTCAATGGGAGGGGGTCATGGGGGTTGTGAAAGGCTTGAGGTTGGGGCCGCTTGACGGGAGGGGGGAGGAGGAGGCAGCCCGGCGCGGGACAAGTTGGGGACCCAGCCGGGCTGGGCCCCAGGTCTGTACAATATGGTTTGCTATAAAACTGAAAATCTTCCAGCTGGGGCCAGAGTTCCTCTGTCTGCGGTGTCGGGAGAAGGGGGGGGGGCTGCGGGTGCGGGCAGGCCTTGAGTGCCTGCCTTTTGGGGCTCTCGGAGGTGGGGTTGTTTGGTTGGATTTGGGAATCTTGGATCTTCTCTGCTTCCCGGAACTGAGCTTGCAGGAACCCTGCAACTTCTACAGGCTGATGGGCTCACCTTTACCGAGTTAGCAGTTTAGGTAGGAGGTTAGAGGTCGACATCTGGGAGTGTCTCGGCCTACTTGGAACGGTGCAGGGCTCGGGTCACAGGCTGCAGCTGGTTGCTAACCTCAGCGGAGCTAGGGCACCTGTGACATTTTAGATGGACTAGTATCGCTGGGTCCCTTGAGAACTTTACCAGATGCCCTCGGGCTCCACCCCATCATGTGGCCATCTCAGCTCCGCCTCTGCCCCAGTTCCTGTTTCAGTCTCTGCTGTCCCGTTTTGGCCCCTAGAGTTATCCGCAGCCTCCAGCTCTTCCTCCTCGCTTTGGACTGCCTCTTTCTGGGTGCCTGCCGCCTACATCTCTTCTCACCCCTCAGGGGGATGGGGTCTCCCCCTCGACTGAGCTGGTCTTCCTGGACTCCCCGCGGCTACTTGGTCCCACCCTGACTGCCCAATCCACCTGGTGCTGCGCGCCCCCACCCCCCCTCCAGGATGAAGGGTGGCCAGGGGGATGCAGGCGAACAAGTCCCACTGAACCCGGAGGCCGAGTGCCCCGCTGGCTCAGCCACATACCGAGAATTCGTGCACCGCGGCTACTTGGACCTCATGGGGGCCAGTGAGCACTCGCTGCGGGCGCTCAGCTGGCGCCGCCTCTACCTCAGCCGAGCCAAGCTCAAAGCCTCCAGCCGCACGTCTGCCCTGCTCTCGGGCTTCGCCATGGTGAGGGGAGGGTGGGGGTGCACAGGATGGGGGGAGGTGCGGGGTCATGGGCAAAGTAAACCCAAGGGAGGCAGGGTGAAAGGAAAGGGAAAGGTTGGGTTTTAAAAGGTGAAAGAGGGGAACAAACGAGGTCCGAAGAGACGACACAAATCTCTCTAATGGGTGTGTCAGTGTGTAAACAGACCCCTGGCATAAACTGGGCCACAGGAAGGATAAGTGCTAAAAATGTCATGGGGGACACAAAGGATGTTAAGGGAATAGACAAATCACCAAGGGGAATACATACGCAAAGATGGGGCAAAGAGATTCAAAAGCAACTCCAGGCAGGAGTGATTATTAGACAAGGGCAAATCAGATCTTCGGGGTGGGGGGGTGGAATCTAAGAAAAGAAACTGGATGGAGCCCTCACCAGGGTCCCAACTGGATGGGCCCACCCAACTGGCGGTGGGCCCATCCCAAGGAGGTGGCTAGCACCCAGCAGGACAAAAGGTACTTAGTTTATTTAGCCCAGGAACCTTTGAGAAGACAGGATGCCCGTGAGGAAGCCTGGGGGCTGGGGGCGTGGGGAAGCTGATTAGGAAGCTGATTCAAGATTCCTGAGTTAATAAACTGGGGGTGTGGAAAGATGATATCAACTAACGGTGCCAGTGAAACCTCATAGGAAGTGGGACTGCGGGAGGTCCCAGGGTAAGGAGTCAGCATACACACGTCCTGGCTCTTTGCTGATTGTGGCCAGTCGTGTGACCCTGGACAGGCACCCATCACTTTGCAGGTCAGTGGGAATTGTGAGGTTATGGAGGGTGTGCCCTATGTAGCCTGCCAGCTATTTGCCCAAGGATGAGCTAATTCTTGTCATCAAACCCTAGATTCAAGCATGTTAGAGCAAGATACACATGAAAGATGGCAGACTACCTGTACGGACAGTCATGGAAACCAGGGCCCAGAATGGGGCAATGGCTCTGCCAAGAGCATTCAGCAGATGGAGGATGTAGAAAACACCAGGGCGCAGAGTCACTGGCCTGTTAGTCCAGGGTTTCTCCACCATCATGACAGGAAGAAGGGAAATATGTCTGGCAGAAGGGGTGAGGTGCAAATCTTTGTAGGACCTGTTTCTGTTGAGGGCACATTGAGATGGGAATAAAAGGGTCAGAGCACTTGGTGTTTTAGATTAGTCTCTGCCTTTCTCAGTAGTCCCTGCCTCTCAGTGCCACAGCCTCTGTATTTAAATGCTAAGAATCATCCTAGGTCTCTGTTTTTTTTATGTGAGGGTTCGAGATCCACGGGCCAGCCCACACTTCCTGATTGGAGTCGTGTAGGGACAGGGAGTTGGCTCTCCTTTAACTGTACAGACTGCAGGGGGAAAAGTCCCACGGACCTATCCCAGGGAGGTTCCCCACCCCTGCCCACCCCATGGTCCAATTGGGCCACTGCTGGGCTTGCATGTTTCTGGGATGAAAGCTTAAGGGCCAGGAACATCTCTGCAGGATCAAGAGGCCAGATGAGTAGGTTCTGGGAGCAGAACTGGCTCCAGCCTGGCCCGGGGAGAGCAAGGCTGGGTTATCCTGTGGCAGAAACCAGGAGTAGGCCTAGCCCAGATACCTGTCTGTGGAAAACGCGTACTAACACCCTTCATAGTCCAGTTTCCCAAAATACTCATCTTTGTTTTTCCATCACCTCTTTCCAGACTCTGCACCTTCTTCCTTTCCTCAGCCCCAGAGCAATCTAATGGGTCCTGCAAGAACTACTGGGGAGAGATACAGATTTTTTAATTCTGGTGGCCTAGGTTAGAATAACATCAAATTGTATTGAATTGTCACTCTGCTTAGGACATCTATCTGTATCACCTATTACATCTAGCAGAAGTAGGTACCACTGCTATGTCCATTTTACAGTGGAGAAAACTGAGGCTCAGAGATGTTGAGACACCTTCCCAGGGTCCCACAGCAAGTAAGCAGCAAGATTTGAACTTAGGCAGTCTGGTTCTAGAGTTCAAATTTATACAAACCTAGAACAGGATCATCAACTCAAATGTTTGCAAAGGTGAGCAGGTAACATGGAAGCCAAGTTTTGTGAGGACTGTGGCTATAAAGAGATCCCATGAGCTGTTCAAAAGCAGCAGCCATGACTGAACTCTAGCTGATAGTTGCCATGCAAGAATGTGGACCTGGAATAACCAGATTTTCCAAATTTTCAACAGCTTCTGGAAATTGGGATATTTATATGAAATCTCCTGAATTTTAAAAGTTTGTAACTTCATTCTTTAAGAAATACACTGTTTGAGATAAGCGAAATATGTTTGCGAGCTGGCTTTGGTTCATAGTGTGCCAATTTGCAAACTCTGGCCTTGGAATTTAGTGTTAACTCTAATAATAACAGCAAACACTTGTACTCACCATATGTCTTACATTATTCTGATCACGAGTATTATCACATTCGATTTTCACAATAACTTTATAAGATAGGTAGGTGCTATCATCAATCCCCATTTTCCAGATGAGGAAATTGAGGCACAGAAACACTAAGTCACTTGCTCAAGACTATACAGCTTGTAGACCTGGGAGAACCCAGGCAGACCAGCTCCAGGATCTGTGCTTTTTAACCCTTATGTTATAACAAGGTAAGATTGTCAGAAACATGTCTTCCAGACATTTGGATAGCTAGGTGGGAAAACTAAGGACCAGAACAGGCAAGAGCCTTTTCACCAAAGCTGCCTGTTCCTGTACTCAACAAAGACTGAGAGTCTTTTTTCTGCCAGGCAAACAATAGGTCCTAAGAACACATCACTGATGTATGCCAACAGGCAAACACTCTACTACTGTTCAGGAGGTTATGGCACTCAATCCATCCCCTCTTGTCCCTACAGGTGGCCATGGTGGAGGTACAGCTGGAGAGCAACCATGAATACCCGCCAGGCCTGCTGGTGGCCTTTAGTGCCTGCACCACTATACTAGTAGCTGTACACCTCTTTGCACTCATGGTCTCCACGTGTCTGCTACCCCACATTGAAGCTGTTAGCAACATCCACAACCTCAACTCTGTCCACCAGTCTCCACACCAACGACTCCACCGCTATGTGGAGCTGGCCTGGGGCTTCTCAACTGCCTTGGGCACCTTCCTCTTCCTCGCAGAAGTTGTTCTGGTTGGCTGGGTCAAGTTTGTACCCATTGGGGCTCCCTTGGGCACAGCAGCCCCTGTGGTACCTGCCTCCCAAGTACCTGGGACTCTACCACCAGTGGCCACCTCACTTAGTCCAGCTTCTAAGCCACCCTCTGCTTCTGTAGCCCCGCCAGAGACTGAGCCATCTGAAGCCTGCCCACCCCAGCAAGCATGTGGTGGTGGTGGTGGGATCCATGGACCAGGCTGGCAAGCGGCCATGGCCTCCACGGCAATTATGGTACCTGTAGGGCTAGTGTTTGTGGCCTTTGCCCTACATTTCTACCGTTCCTTGGTGGCACACAAGACAGACCGCCACAAGCAGGAGCTAGAGGAGCTGAGTCGCCTGCAGGGAGAGCTGCAGGCTGTGTGAGGTTGGTGTTAGTACCCTCAAAAGCACTGCCTTCTTCAGGGGCCAGCCAGAGACCCCAGGTCTACAGAACACTGCTCCCTGACCCTGTCTGGAGGTACTTAGGTAGAGACCAGATTTTTGACCTCATAGTCCTTTGGGCTGGACTACTTAGAGCTCCCATATTCCCAGGAATTTTTCCTGTCAGTCTTTCCTATGGGTTTTATAAATTCTACTCTACGCCTAGGCTGGGAGAAGCAAGGGAGGAAGTGGAAGATCCTCAGTCCAAGGTTCATACAGTAGGTGGAATGGAGGCAGGGAGACCCTGGTCAGACCTTTGGTGCTGACCCTTAGCCACTTGCCCCTATATAGGATGTGGAGGTCAGGTTATGCACCCACCCAATTGCTCCAGAAGGCAGCCAAACCTTGCTTTGTTTTTGTAGAATTTTTTAAAATTTATTTTAGAGAAAGATACATCAATGTGAGAGAGAAATATCGATCAGCTGCCTCCCTCCTGTACACACCATGAATGGGGATAGAACCCACATCCTAGGTATGTGCCCTGACTGGGGATTGAACCCCTACTGCAACCCTTTGGTATATGGACAACACTCCAACCAACTAAGCCACCCAGCCAGGGCTTGTAGAATCTATTTTATGGTTGGCATTTCTTGGGAAGCTCTTCCCCATCCCCAGATTTCAGTGGGTTTCACACTCTTGCTTTAGTTGCTATAGAGATTTGGGTGCTTCTGCCCCAGGCATAGGTCCAGCCTTTCCTAGAAGGAGCCTCCCTATTTTTGGAGGTTCAAGTGCCAGTCCAATTTCCCTAGACCCACACTTCTATATATGATTCTTCCTCTTTTGTGCCAGGGTTTGGGGGTCTTTGGAGGCTGTGGGCCTGTGTCCCCAGCTTGACTACTTCGCAAGGGTTGGGGTGAGGAGATTTTTAAGGGTAAAGGTCTAGTCCCTAACCCTTGGAATACAGAGCTATTCTGCCACTGAATTTTTGATGCACCTTGTTTTGTATAATAAATTGTGTTTCACAGATGTCCTGGTGGCTGTAAATGGGGTGAAGGGGAGGGCCTCCTTGGAATCAGGTGACTTGTTCCTAAGAGACCAGTAGACCAATAGAGGCAAGTGTACCTGGATGCTGGGCAAGGGGGTGGGAGAGTAGGTTCCAGGTGTGACCCCCCTTCTGGTGCTGCTGACTGGAGCCAGTAGTTTCTCAACATAGAGGCTAAGTTATTCAAGGCAGAAGACTTGCACTCTTGTTCTGAGCCCAGGGTCTCCATCTCTTCCATTGCCAATTTAGTGTAAGTTTCCTTTATGCTGTTTTTGAGTGATCACTACATATATGGGCTCAGACCACCTCAGGAGACAGGTCTTTTTAATTTCCATTTCAGAGGTAAGGGACCTGAAGCCAAAGAAGGCTGAGGATCTTGCATAGAGCCACACTCTAGAGGCTAATCTAGTCAGTGAAAACTTGGACTACTATGATCACATGAGGAGTCCTGTTTGACTTGAAAAAAGGAGCCAGTATCATTAAAAAAAAAAAAAAACTTCTCGGGTTGTTTTTTTTTGTGCTTTTTGAAACGTTTTATTTATTTTTAGAGAGGAAGGAGGAGAATGATCAATTTGTTGTTGCATTTATTTATGCCTTCATTGGTTGATTCTTGTATGTTCCCTGACTGGGGATCAAACCTGCAACCTTGGTATATTGGGAGGATGCTCTAATGGAGCTACCCAGTCAGACAAGAGAAAGGCATATGATCTCATCACCCATGCTTCTGCGTAAATTCATTTTTTTCAACCTCATTTTCCTCAAATTTAAAGAATCTCAGTTCTCTCTCTTCTATTCTTACGATGTCAGATTTTGGAAATGTCCCCCTTTTCTCACTTCCTGTTATTTAAAATACTAAACTTGAATGAACCAGGCTTCGAGGGCCTTTCCCCATGCTTTTCTGAGGACTACAGTAATATCTTGCATGATAGGAATTTATATCCATTTTAGAGTAAGACTCTGAAGCTTTGAGAGGTCAATTACTTGCCCAAGGTCATACAGCAATCATACAGCAAGTGATGTAGATAGAGCTGTCTGGAACTTAGGACATTCTCAGCTCAGGCAGAATGGCTTCCTTGGACTGTCATTACCTAGAGACCAGAATATCTTGCATCCAAGACGGAGATAAAGGATGGCCAGCATCAGGCAACGCTAGTCCCAGGGTCCCAGGTGTAGGCCTGGGCTGGTGCTGCCCCCCAGCGGGACTGCGTGAGTATAGCAACCACCACCGCCTTCCACCAGCCCCCCCCCCCGCCCCCCCCATGACATACACGGGCCCTGGCACCATGATGCCTGGACAATCCACCATCCCACCCTAGTTCCTGTAGAATCCAGTTTTTTTTTTCTTTTAAGATTTATTTATTTATCTTTAGAGGGGAAGGGAAGGAGAGAGGGAGAGACACGTCAATGTGTGGTTGCCTTTCGTGCGTCCCCTGCTGGGAACTGACCAGCAGGGAACCGGCCTGCAACCCAGGCAAGTGCCCTGACTGGGAATCGAACCGCCATTGTCTGGTTCGCAGGCCTGCGCTCAATCCACTGAGCTACACCAGCCAGGGCAAACCCAGTTGTTGTTTTTTTTACAAGACCCAATTAAGCCGGGTTTATCACAAAACTTTAAGATAGGCTTCGGATTTTACCACTAATGGTGGCCAAGTAGGGGCAAAATGCGAACCCTCTGTGTGCCTCAGTCTCCCCATCTGTCAAGTGGGTATCTTAAGCAGATAAAAGGCCCAAAGGGGATAACGGAAGTTAAACGCTCCTTGCGTTACGTGCGGCGCCTGGCGAACGGCCTGAGTCACCATTGTTGGTTGTATTTTTCCATCTCATATGCGCCCCTCCCAACCCGCCCGGGTTTCGGTGGGTCCTACAGGAAGCGTCCCCGCGACGCCAGGCCCCGCACGCTCTGACCACGCCCTCTGCGCACGGCGCCTTGGCTCCGCCCACAAAAGAATTCGCAGATTCGCTATACCGGGTCCTTAGAATTACTCAGGCCCCGGCGCTCGGCCGAATATTATCATCGGACTCCGAGAGGAGCTTTGGGCCATAGCCTTTTCCCCCAGGTCAGAATTGAGCAGAATTGAGTTATACTAGTATGAAAATCCAGAAAAGTGGTCGACTCTGCCAACAAGGCTAACCAGGCGTTATTTTCTTGTCTTCACCAAGGCAGGCAAAGGGAAGCAACAGCTGAGACCAGGACTCGTGGCGAATCTGCAACCTCTTGGGCATTTGGCCGCGCAAGGGGCAGGAAAGAGGAGCAAAGGAGCGCGCGTCCCGTCCACCCATTCGCCCCGCCCGCCTGACGAATCTGCGCCAGTTCTACGGGCCACTCAAATCTCCCCTGTTCTGGCTGGCCTCCTCCCCTCCGCCCCGCCCCCTTTTCCTCAGGGATTAGTCGCTGCTTTCGTCGCCGTCGATTCGTCACCGACCCCAGGCCAGAGCAGCTGGATAGTCGTGGTGAAGCCCACTTCGGGGGATGCGGCCAATCTCCAGGCTCTCTAGGCCGCAACTCTCGAGCCATATAGGGCGCCGGCCGAGGCGAAACCGCTATCCTCGGCCCCGTTGGTCTCCCGGTGGCGCCTGTGGCGAAAGTGCGAATGTCGACGCTGTGCTTGCTGGGCCTCGCGCAGGTGGCGGTGGTGTTTGGTGCGCGCGCCGGGGAGGTGGTGGTGGGGGGGCGCCGCCGCCGCCACCGCTGCGGGGCCGGGTCTCGCGCTGCCGCCGCCGCCGCCTCGCGCCACTAAGGTGCCGCGCGGGGTGGGGGGAGGGGGAGCCGCTCGACCAGAGCGGGTGAGTGGGGCCGCGCCGCGCGTGCGCGGAGATGGGGGGGCAAACGCGCCGGGGCGGGAGGAGAGGGCAGCGGCGCGCGTTCCACCTACTCCCCCGCCCGGATTCGGGGCCGAAGCCGGGTCTCGGTCTCGGTCTCGCGGTGTTTCCAACGCCCCGAATAGGTGCTACCTCTTGGCCGGAGGATCGGGGCTGGGGACGCGAGCGGGTGTGTGGGAGCGGGAGCCGGGCTTGGCCCGGGCCGCTGGCCGGTGAGGAGGCGGGAGGGGGCGGGGCCTGCCAGGGGGCGGGGGAGGGGTCTTGCTCCGTAGGCAAGTGGGGCGCGCAGTAGGTAGAGCGGGCGCACGAGATGGGCCTGGTGGTCTGAGCGGAGAGTTGTGGGGTGGAGAGAGAATGGGTGGTTACGGTGAAAGAGTGTACTTGGGGGGAAATCTGGGGGAGCTACGGGTCTTGGTGAGGTGTGGAAACTGGGGTGATGAGAGAACCTAGAGTCTGGGTTAGTCGGTGAAGGGTAATAAGAGAGTCAGTCAGGCCTAAGACCTGAACCCCCTTATGTATTTCTTTCTCATAACAGTGTAAATGAGCAAAGATGGATCAGGAAGGTGGGGGAGATGGGCAGAAGGCCCCAAGCTTCCAGTGGCGGAACTACAAGCTCATCGTGGATCCTGCCCTGGACCCTGCCTTGCGCAGGCCTTCTCAAAAGGTGTACCGCTACGATGGAGTCCACTTCAGTGTCAACGTGAGTATCCCAGGCCTCTCCTTGCCATCTAGGATACTCCGGTCCTGTTCTCCTGTTGGCTCTGTTCAGCATCTAGAACTTCCATACCCATGGCCTGCTTTCTTAAAAAGTGGCTAATCAGAACCCAACTCTTTTGCATATGGGTCTCCAAATGGGCTTCTCTGAGCTCAACAGTGTGGTTTCACCTTGAGCTGTCTTTCTTTTCCTTCCTAGGACTCAAAGTATATACCAGTCGAAGACCTCCAAGACCCCCGTTGCCATGTCAGGTCCAAAAACAGAGACTTTTCCCTCCCAGTCCCTAAGTTTAAGGTATGTGTCTACTAGTCTTCTGGTGTGGTGGCCCTTGGCTTGATTTAGCTCAATAAACGTTCTTCAATGAGAGGATCACAGCCAGATTTAACAGTTTCCCAGGCTGTGAGACTGAGTTGTTCTGGACAGGATTATGTTTATTTTCTCAAAAGGTATAGGTGAGATGTCCCAAGCAGAGGTTGACTTCTTAAAGGATAACATTAAGATTGGTTTAGCTCCCATACCTATCACTATGTATTCCTAGACAGTGCATAGCTTGATAGTTCCCTGGTGTGAAACCCCAATTTCTCAACAATTAAGGGGAGTGACAAGGCCAGGGACTCTGTCCCTGGAGTCCTGTGTTCCTTACCGCTCGTTTGGCCATTTGATCCTCCATCTTGTTTCCTCAGAGGGTTCCCATTTTCCTGTCTATGCAGGATACTCATTAGGACTTGGGCTGGGCCAGGAAAACTGGTGGTTCTTAGTTTCCCTTACTAATTTTTTTTCTTTTTTATTTAATTGTTGTTCAAGTACAGTTTTCTGTCTTTTACTTCCATCCCAGCCCATCTCCCTCCCATTCCCCCCCGCCCCACTTTTTGCCCATGTGTCCTTTATACTTGTTCCTGTAATCCCTTACTAATTTTTTATTCTTCTTTGTTTTTAAATAAATCACTTATGGGGGTTCCCCACCCCTTTTTTAATTTTGTACATTTTCCCTGGACAGTTTCTTTCACAGCCATAATTTTGACTGTTACCGAAATGTTCATGACTTCCAAATACCTGTTTCTGGTCAAGATCAATCTCGAACTCCAAACTTATATGCCTGATAGTGAGACAGCTCCATCTGGAGGCCCCATGGACATCTCAGACTCAAGAGGTCTAAAAGAAATTAACCTTGTAATCCCTCTCTCCCTTCCGTCTATTCAGCTGCACAAGCTGGAAACCAGGAGTCATCCTATGATTCTTCTCTTCTTTATCGTAGTCTGTCACAAAGTTTTGCTGGCCCTTTTTGTCTTAATTATTCTATTTTCATTGCCATTTCTTTAATGCAGACTCTTGTAATTATTTCACCTGGTGTCCTTGCTTCTATTTCTTTTCCATTTTATGTTCCATCTTGCTGTCATTGTCTTTGTGGTTTCACTGTTCCCTGATTTTACTATTGTTGCTAAGTCCATG